GGCTGTGGTGCCTCGTGACCCCAGGCAGGCCCGGTGCCACCGGCGGGGTGAGGGAGCTCCCCTCGTCCCCTCCCCTCGGGGTGGCTTTGTAGGAGAAACGGATTCTGGTGGCCGGGTGTGTCGGTGGATCGTTTTTGGTCCTTCAGGGATGCTCACTGTGAAACACACAACTCCCGTGCTCTGTCTCCGGCAGCACAGGCCCTCTCAGCAAAGGGAAGCGAGTAGAAACGTGGGTAGGTCACAGTGAAACAGTGTTTAAAGTCCAGATGGCAAACGTTGCCAGCGTGAAGGCAGAGTGCAACCAGCCCGCGCGCGTGATCTGGGCACTGCCCAGGGATCTCTTGCCTCGTTGTGTTGAAGTGCTCAGATGCCACCCTTGCCTTTTGCATAAACGCGATATGCTATTAGCGTACTTCACCTGACTTCGGGAGCAGAAAGATTATGAGATACCTACCATCTTGTCTTCCCCGGTGCATTCCAGTTCACCTGCACCGCGCCTCCTGGAAGCTGGGGTTTTTTTGCTGCATCTGCAATGCTGCAGTCATTTACGCTTTTAACAGATTACAACTTCTATGTTAAACATCGCCAAATCAGGTGGATAATATATGTATGTCCTCATTAGCAATGTGCGTCAAGTATTGCCTTGCCCTTCTATGCCATTTTCATCCATGGATGTTAAAGTATATAAAAAAGAAATTGGAATGATTGTTTCTGTTTTATATCTTACTCCGTTACTATTTCACTCTGGAGGATCTGATCTTTCCCTAGAAGAATCTGTGCCTGTTTAAGAAAGAACATGCTGTAAGTCACCGGCCCTGTAGAAGTGGTACTGTAAAATCCGTGTGCTCCTACTGAAAGAGGTTACTGAGGTCCGCAGTCCCCGTGCGGGATCCCAGTGGAGTCGGTGCGGTTAGCCGAAGAACTGCCTGGCGAAGTTCTGGCAGGGTTCACTGTGTTTATCCCAAAGTAAAAACAAGTAATGCCTTGTCTCATTGCTGATTTGCACGGATGCCTCAATTTTGAACACATCCTTTTTTCCAGGGAAGCGTAGGCAAAGCAAATAGAAGCTTCGTGAGCTCTCACTACTGAGTCATTCTTATCTACACCATCATCTCCAGAGCTCCTTCCTTATCTCCTCAGGCATAGGCATAGCTGTAAATGCATACAATTGTACAACGAAGAACTTCATCTAGTCCCTCTGTATGTGCCTGTTGCTCTCTTGGCAAGGCCAAATCCATGTCAGGTGCTTCAGGTGGTCCCCGAAGGGCCGTGGTATGGTGAGTGTGCTTAGCATGTGCCTGACAAAGAAGGAATGGGTTTTCTAAACACGGCGGGGGTCACTGTGCGCAAGGCCGCGTTGGTGAGAAGGAGCTCCCTTTGCACCTTGCTCTATGTGGGGGTAGTTAGCAGTTGGTGGGAGTCAGCTCATACCTCCTAGTTACCAGGTTTGCTGAGAATGAGGGCCTTACTCGGCTGGAGGGGTTCAGGTGTACGTATCTCAGGGGAGTTCAGGGTCCGGTGGGTTGTAAAGAAACATGGGGGTCTAGTTCTCCACCTGCAACTGTGTTCATTTGCCAAGGAGCTGGAAAAGGAATAGTTTTCAGTTCTGGTAGTCATGGCCCTTTCCTGAGAGGAGAAAGATCTGGGTTGTAGACTATGATTTGAGAGCTGTGTCAAATGCCTGAACAGCCCTCAGAGGAGGCAGTGGACCCCGGTCTCTTTTCTCTTAGGGAAGGGCCTTCGTTGATAGACTGCACTGTCACACCCCCTGCCTGGGACATGGGTCTCGAATTCTCTCTTGCAGAACGACTTCCCCAGAAAGGCTGATGAGGGCTGCTCTTGTTTCCCTGTAGCCTACACTTTGGTGGCAAGGGCACTGCTGGCAGGGGGGAAATGCAGGGCTCAAAGTCGCTGGAATGAAAAGGGCAGGGAGCTTGGCTCTCCCCTCTCGTTCCTGAATATATTCTGAATTACTGGGTGGGGTTTTCTTTGTTTTTCCGTTCAGGCAGACCCATTGTTTACCAGTACATAGAATTTTTTACTACACTTGCAGAGGCAATAAAGCCGATGTGAGCTTCAGGGCGTACCATTAAACCTCCTGAAGCACGCTGCTTGGGAAACGGAGTCCTGGGCTGCTGCACAGGGTGGGTGAGGCCGGTCCACTGCTGGCCACATTTTCAGTGTGGGTTCTGCTCCAGTTTTTTGAGGGCTCAATGTACAGGCTGTGAATCCTTTTTCAGTGCAGGGTCAGTCATTTAAATAACGCCAAGGAATGGGATTTCAGGTGTATGTTTTTCTTTAGCGTTGCCAGTTGGCTAGGTCAGACGAATCTCACTTCCAGCGTATTGGCCAGCCTGGACCTTGCTCCGAGACAGCCTTTCCTTCCCACTGCGTGGGCAGTTTGTGTATCTAACTCGGGGCTACAGAGTCCCTTCTGGCAGGCAATGCCTAAAAATCCGGTGAGTAAAATGAAGTTTTGCAGTGCCTGTTTCTTGCAGGCACAGAAATTTGATAATCCTTCCCCAAATTAGCGAAACATGATGTGTAAAAATTGAAGCTTGACAAATTCGGATTCAGGACAGAGGTTTTCTAATAGCGAAGATAGGTAGCCACGGAAATGATTCAGAGATGGCCCATCTCTGGAAAGATTTTATGAAGGATATTTTCTAGTGCAAAAAATAAGTAATACAAATCCCATGGATGTGAAAACAGATGTGAAAACCGTAGTCCAGTTTGGCTTTATGATTTTAATATGTATATTATGCAAGATTTTAACCAACAGACTCCCTTAGATTGTTGCTGAAAACTATCTTAGCAGGGTATCCATTCAGTTAAACAGCAGCACCAGTGAAGGATTGCCGCTCTCCAAACTCAGCTTCGTGCATTGTGGCCGGGGTCAGACATCTCCCTGCAGGGTTCATCCCAGCGCTCATTTTTTTCAGGAAAGTTCCTATATATGTTATTCTGGAGTGAAAATTGAGAGCCACTGGTAGGACTGATGAGTCACTGTTCCATTCAGCTGGCATTTTACGTTTTGAAGACTGTCATTTGCATAATAGTTTACCTGTAAGTAATCTATAATTCTGAGAGCACTGCTCACTTAGACATCCTGCTAGGACATCACCTTTTCAGGTCCTGATATGAAACAGCCCAACCTGTAATTCATGGCAGCATCCATGCCCAAGAAAGGTGATTATCATTTCATACACACCTGCTTGAGGAGAATAGCCATTTTCAGAGATATTTCAGGCTACAGATACACATGGGACAGAGTTAATAACCTAGTCAATAACCAGTCTTAGGGGATGTACTCCAAAAGGTACATAAAATCAAAAGATAGTCCAGTTTTGACAATACATTTCCGTAGGTATCTGAAGGTACATCTTCTGCCTCAGTCTAATCTGGTCTGAGCGGTTCCATTGCCTGCCTCACATCTAAACTTGATCTGATCCTGAAAATGAGCAATCCTATGTTTGGACATAGCATAGCACATTGCTATGTGCTCTCATAGAGCTGCCCTTGGATGTGTGCTCAGGTAAAGGCTAGCCCCAACAGGGTCAAGTGGCACGCAATCCAAAGATTTAAGACTGCGGCGTTCAAAAAGCTTGGCCAAGGGAAGTGGTAATCTCTTTTTAGTATAACAGCCTAATGGGTAGAGCACGTACCAGTGTGAGATCGGATCCCACGTTCTCGTCTCTGCGTGGAAAATAGGGGAGCGGGCTGGAGGCCATGTCTGTGCCTTTCCAGAAATCGCCGAGCGAAGGTGGGTCCGGATGCCAAGGGTGGGTGGAGGGGGCACTCTTTGCCTCTCCTGTACAAGCTGTGCCAATATGCAAGGGACAAATACGATTCGTGAAGGATTTGGGGTATGAGGGAAAGGGAAGGGAAGAAAAGAAAGAGCAAGTCAGCATGTGACTACATGATCTGGCTGGCACCCTGATGTTGGAGGTGAGAGGAAAAGCCAGCAAGGAACCCTGGGTATGAAAGAGGTTTTGTATCGTATCTAGGGAGTGTTTAACATCAGACTAATTCCCCGCCAGATT